GAGCTCGCGCTGTAAGTACTCGCACCTGTGCTGTGGTCGCGGATGGACATGAGGTCCAGGGGGTGCACCACATCGTCCACCTGCACCGTGCCCCGCAGGTGGCCCATCTGCTCGTAGTGCGACTGGTGCGCGCTGGAAGCAGCAGGGTCAGGTTATAGCTAGGCGTGGTGGCCGCGGCGAGGCCGCCGTCAAGAGAGTCGTGTCGTCGCGGACCTTCTGAGGCGCTTGAAGTAGTCCCTGCTCCACTCCTCGGCCGCGATGATCTTGGCCATGGAGTGCGGGTGCAGGTCCGAGTCGTAGTCGAAGGCCGGCCAGGCCCCCGTCCACACGCCCCTGAGCTTCACGTTGAACTCCTTGCTCGGGTCCTCCCGCAGCCTGGGCATTGAGCAGGAGAAAAGTAATACGCCTATAGAGCCTACAGAACTTACAGAACCCATAGAACCTACGGAACCTATTGGACGAAATAGGATTTACACTCACCTCATCACACCGTCAAACTCCACGCGCCACGTCTTCAGGGGCTCGACGGGCTGCAGCCGTATGCCCTCGGCGCCGTACACTTCCTCGTTGGCGCCGAACAGACAGGTGTCGGGCAGCTTCTTGTGCATGAGCAAACCCAGGCCAGGGATCTAGAGGGCACCAGGGACCGATCTAATTGCTGGGCGAAGCGGTCGACGCGTAACAACGAAGTAGTGTCGGACTGCTTTGCCTTACCAGGATGTAAATCGGGGAGTTGACGATGCCGTGGTGGCGGCGCTCGCTGCCGACAATGACGTACACGCCCTCCATGCTGCACGCCATGAAGAAGATGGCGTCGAACGCCAGGGGGTGCTCTCCGAGGGTCTGCAGGCGCTCCTTGTCCACCAGCGGGTGCACGGGGCACCCGCGCGCGTCCAGGGCGGGCCGGGCAGCGCGTTTCTGGTCCAAAAAGAACGGGGCTGCGTTTCCTAAACGACCGCCTTTCTCTCCCCTCCGGCCACCGATGCCACAGCAGATGTCGTTACCTTGTTGATCCAGAGCATCAGCCGCATGAAGACATACTTTATCCAGAAGCGCGGCCCGGGCACGCGGTACTTCCCGAACACCGGCTCCGGGTCTCTGGCCCGGGCGATCTTGACCAGCAGCGCCGCCAGCACGGCCAGCAGGAGGAGCCAGCAGATCATGGCGACTCGAGCAGAACGACGATGCCGCAGACACTGACCCGATGCCGCACCGCCCGGCCCGAGGACGGCGATAACCTCCTATCAGCACGGCTGCGCGCGCGGCCGGCCCGCCCGGCACTGGTGCTGCATGGGCTGCCTAGCCACCGGGCGCGCCCTCCCCGACTCTACCCCGTGCGCCGGTGAGCTCCACCCCTCGCGCGGGGCGCGGGGTGGGAGTGGTAAGGCGTTCCCCACGCAGTACGCACGGGTCGGGGCGCCACCTCACTGTTTGTAGCGACACAGCTATACCGGCTGTTCGGGAGAATACGCGGCAGCTCGATGTGTTGCCTACGCACTGGCGAGCAGGCGCGGGGGAGGGCGAGGGCGAACTGAAGTGGTGGCGGGGGCGGGAGGCAACCGGCCGGCTCCACGCGAGCTCCACGTCCCTGTTGCAGTTTGTTGCCACTGTTCACAGTTGTTGTAGCTACAACCGCCACGGTCACAGGCAGCTTTATCAGAACCGAATGAAGAACTAAGTCCGCTAGGCGTCGTACATGCTCACGCCCCTCTCGCCCCACCCGAACAAAAACCGAACTGCCCCTATACCGCTGAGGTCGTGGGATGCTGTTTTCGGAGCCAGTTTCACAGGTCTTATTTTTCGCGGGCGACTACCACTCGCGGCATGAGCCGACCTCCTGGCAACCCGCTTTTTCGCTGCCAGTGAAGACCGAACCAAGTGCCGACACATCGTCACCCCGGGTAGCGGATATCATAAGCAATACACCTTAAGCAATCCGAAAATCAAAGCAATCCGCTAAGCGAAATGGCGAAAGTCAAAAACTTTTGGAGGGGTTTCCTATCCCTCTCCCCCCTCCCCCCCCCTCTCACCCCGCAGCCCGCCGCGCGTCGCGTTCATCCGTGGAAACGTAAATAAACAGTGAAAATGGGTGTCTCCTGCTGCTCAATACCGAATAATACCGATGCAAATTTCCCATAGGATTTTAATCAGAAATTTTGGGTAGACAGCGCCGCTTTTTGATATTAATCGCAAGGAAAAGTGCTTCCGGAATATTGAAATGTTCTGTTCCGGTTGTTGTAGGAGGTTAGTGTGCTCCAGTTGCACAATATTTACACACACAAGTGGTTAGTTATTTTTTGAGGCAGAGTAAATTCTGCCCGTTCTGTACACTATGCTCACTGTAAGCTTTGTGGAAAAGGGTGTTAAATGGGGACATGCAATATGCGAAATACTGTTGTAGGTCTTTTGCAAATGGGTGAACTTGTCAAGTGTATCATCATATATCGATCTCACATTTTACTCTGTATATTATTCTTGTTAAACAGCAAAATGTATTACTCCTGGTAGGGGTGTGGGCTTTCCCAGTCAACTGAGTGTTTTAGCTCTAGCTAGTAGTGTAATCCCTTAAACAGTCAAACAATCAATGTATGTTGCAGCCTACAGTATGTTCAGAGGGATATATTACGTACACTAATACTTGAGTCCAGTGCCAAATTAATTATTTGTAAGACCATGCGGTCATTTAGAGTATGGGGCCAATTTAAAAGTGTGTTGTATGAGTAAATTATATGTAATTAATAGTTGATGATTGTTGAGTATTATATTAAAACAAACATTCAAAAAATACTGCTTAAAGTACCGTTTAATATGATTGCAGGAACACGGTCCAGCAATGTTCTGGACATGAGCGAAGAAGTCTATGGAGTCAGTTTACCTGAAAGAAATTGGTGAGTTGGAATGACAAGTATATCCATACGCTTTTCCAATTTGTCTCCGTACAGACTCTATGAGAAGCTTCCTTTGGTGGGCATCAAAGGGTGGTGCCTTGGTTCTTCCCAGACAATTTCAATCCTTTCCTGTCAAAATCCAGGCTTGATATTGTTATCGTTCAAAATGTCCCCCCCCCCCCCCCCTTGCTCTGTCTAAATATCATGTACACCAAAGATTTTAGATATTGCGCCTTAAGGGTAGGCAATAATCCGCATATAGTTTCTAGAGACCAACTCTTAAGACTTAACTTTCTGTGGACAGGGGTGGTTTCTGAAGGAACCGAAGGTAGCTTTATGGTCCCCTCGTTCAGGCCTGTGGATTCGGATCCTACCCCGTCGAAATCGGGAGACATCAATATTCGCTAAAACAACAAATTTTGCCAAAAATTAAAAAAATTGAAAACCGATGGAAATGGTTGGGATCGGTCCGACTGCACCCTCTTTCAATCTCTCCGTCGAAATTTCACGCCGCCGGGCCATTTCGAGTGAGTTACGCCTGTTTTTCGTGGGTGGGTTCGCCTGCGAGGTAGGCAGCCCATTTTACGCTGTCCAAGATTCAAAAAGCCCACCTCTTAAAACGCAAGTTTCTGTGAACAGGAGTGGTTCTAACGGAACCAAAAATAGTTTGGCGGTCCCCTGGTCCCGAGTTCGCCCTCGCCCCCGTCTATTTGACTACTCTTCCGTCGGAATCCGGACCCATCAATTTTCGCTAAAACAGGAAGGCTATTTAGCCTTTGTAAATTTGGCCAAAAACAAAAAAGAATAAAATCGCTGTAAATGGTTGGGATTGGTCCGACAGCCACCCCCTTTTAATCTCGCAGTCGAAATTTCTTGCCGCCGGGCCATTTCAAGTGAGTTACGCCTTTTTTTCTTGGACAGGCTCGCCTGCTAGGTAGGCAGCCCATCGTACGCTGACCGCCAGATTCAAAAGACCTCCCTTAAAACTCAAGTTTCTCTGGAAAGTGGTGGTTTTTAACAGAACCAAAGGTAGTTTTGTGGTCCCCTGGGTCACCTCTGTCGATTTGAATACTTTTCCGTTGAATTCCAGACCCATCACTTTTCGCTAAAAACACAAAGGCTATAGCCTTTGTATATTTTGCCAAAAATGAAAAGATTAAAAATCGCTGGAAATGGTTGGGATTGGTCCGACAGCATCCTCTTTCAAT